TCACTATCTACACACACATTACATTACCTTCCCGCGTCACGTTTCCCCCCCCCCTCATATATATACCAAACTACCCTATATCTAGCAAATACTAGAGCATTCGCCAAGATACGGGATAGTTCTAGAAACGTGGCGTCACTGTAGTCATGTGATCTCGATGACGCAACAGTAGTGTTTGGGACACTATCTGACCTAAGAACTGATGTATTGGTCAAGTAAAAGATTAATACGAGACTTGTTTCAAACAATCAATAACTTTACTTATTTTTTCGCGGAAAACAAAGTCATTGCATCTCTTTCAAGAAAACTTCACATACTTTAACCTCAAATTACCGGCTTGTTTGTGTACAGTTATATTCAATAACTACAGCACTCAATTTAACAAAACTAACCCTAAAAATTAAATACAATCTCTCATTCTAAACGAAAAATCCACAGAAAAAGAGAGACTTGTTTAGTGCTGTTAATTATAATATTTACGGTATTTTAGTAGTGCCACAATTTATTGGTTCCCCAATAAAGTCAGGAGCACACAAGCAATTTGGTGCATAAACAAGATGTTGAAAACAGTATTTAAAACAGCCGATAGAGTCCACCATGATTCTGACCAATCGTAGAATTACAAGCGTCTTTCAGATTTCCTGTGAAATTACTTACAAAGTGACGATGGTCACTTTTATCTTTAATAATATTTGTTTAACTCCAGGGAAATTGTTGTACCTTTTAATTTAACCCACCATGGCAGTGTTTTCCGAACTTTAAATTATGGTGCCCCCTCTAACTCAGCAAAGCCCTCCCCCTTCACATTAAAATCATTTTCGCAAGTGATAACAGTAAAATCAATATTTCCTTTTATCTGTTTTTAATATTATTTTAAATGCTCGTAAGGTGTGAGTAAATGAGGGTAAAGTGATAGGTATTGTTAGGTTATCGTCGTCTCCAACTCTTCTGTTTCTTACGTCATTAGTTTTGGGCTCTCCCGCCAAAAGGTCACGCCCCCACAGTTTGAAAATCACAGCACTTAAGTCTATGGAATCTAGAAAGTTTCTCAGGATTTAGTAAAATTGATTTTATTAAGTATTAAAATACAGTTGTGTTTTACAGGTCTTAATCAAAACGGAAAAACATAACATTTAAACATAAAACACGTGTTTAATACATTCCATACATGGGCTCTTAGTAAAATGTTTTACTTAAATGTTGGTAAATATTAGTCACCTGATTCACGGTCATCTTAAGAGTCAAGATAAGGTTGGTTACACAACTCTCAACAAAGAGTTTTGTTATATATATTGACAGCACCTGACGACACAATTCGTAAACAACGAAGTATAAACTCTCAGGGATATAAAATGTGTAAAAAAAAATTTATTTTCATTAAAAAACGAATGTATATATTTTGGAATATCAAAATTTGCTTATGGTTAGCGAAGACTTGACGTGTTTCTTGCAAATACTGTTAAAATAATATTCTGATTACACAGCATTGGTCAAAATGAAAAAAAAAATTAATACAAGTTCCTAGACTTCAATAAATACAACAGCCTTGACAAAACACGAGGCACACGATATATTTGGCACGTGGGCCTGAGACTGGACAAAACATGGACACGGGTCAATTAAAAGGGTCATCTGGATTAAACACACTTTTAGAAACACATTTTATTTCAAACTGTTCATGGAATTGTGATTGAATTTGTTGTAGGTCTCCTTCAAAGATTCACATCAAAAATCTCTGTCCACGTGTAGAAGGGAAGCCTGTTTCACTTATCCAGGTGACGAGTCATGGTAACGTCATGTGGGGCATCCCCTCTAGCAACTACTTTCTGGGACTGTTCAATATTTATGTATTGGCGAACCAAGCGAGAGATCTCGTGCGCCTGTAGAGAAACGACAAATTTAACTATAAAATCTACTAACCAAGTCCACTAATTACATACTTTCTTTAACAACTGAACATTTGATTCTAACTGAACCACTGGTGGTAGTACAAGAAGAGCTACTAAAAACAGTTCCGTTCTTCAAACACTTTAATCAAACAATTTGAAAACTAATTTTACAATTACATTCAAATTCTAAGCTATAATCTATTACACCAAGTTTTACAACACCTTGGTAAGTTTCAGCTGTAATAAATTATTTCTCTGAAGTTCCTAGCTTGTCGACGGACATTAGTGTGAAGTTCCTAGCTTGTCGACGGACATTAGTGTGAAGTTCCTAGCAGTACTTGTCGACGGACATTAGTGTGAAGTTCCTAGCGGTACTTGTCGACGGAGATTAGTGTGAAGTTTCTAGCGGTACTTGTCGACGGATAATGTGTATCGACAAGTACCGCTAGAAACTTCACACTTATAATGTGTATCGACAAGTACCGCTAGAAACTTCACACTTATAATGTCTGTCGACAAGTACCTTTAGAAACTTCACACTAATCTCTGTCGACAAGTATCGCTAGAAACTTCACACTAATCTCCGTCGACAAGTACCGCTAGAAACTTCACACTAATCTCCGTCGACAAGTACCGCTAGGAACTTCACACTAATGAAAGTGTGAAGTTTCTAGTGGTTTTTGTCGACAGAAATTACTGTGAAGTTTCTAACGGTACTTTTAATTTTTAAGAAATGAGTCAATTATGACAATACTATATAACTGTAGATAACCAAGAAAGTTTGTAAGTCATGGATCACTAAGCAATGTCTCCTCTTTTAAAAAAATCATAATTTAGCTAGAAACAAGATAAAACCTACCGACAAACAAAGAAGAGACTTATGTAATGTACATACAGAGTTAAACGCCTGAAAAATAAAGAAATAAATCAGCAACGGATGGTACAATCAGGATTGAGAAACCCAGTAGCGGAGTATAACACACATTCCGTACATACCTGATCTGTCTGGATGCGGCTGATTTTCTGGACCATCAGATTACCACATTTCATGTCCAAAAACAATGCTCCATCCTCAGCTCGTACTTTCCTAGTGGAAATGACTTCAGAGAATGGATACTTCCAGACTGTGTCCTACAACACACACATGAAGTAAAACATTATGTGCAGGTCATAAGTCTGTTAATTTTATAACACCAAGCTAATAGTATTGTTTGGTATAATAGACTTGCATTCTCACCAAGCTGACAGTATTGTTTGGTATCAAAGACCTGCATTCTCACCAAGCTGACAGTATTGTTTGGTATAATAGACCTGCATTCTCACCAAGCTGACAGAATTGTTTGGTATAATAGACCTGCATTCTCACCAAGCTGACAGTATTGTTTGGTTTTATAGATCTGCATTCTCACCAAGCTGACAGTATTGTTTG